TCTGACCTCAGGACGAATGTCATTGCCTCATAACTTCTGCAATTTAGTGATGTCAAATGAAGAATTGGTTGAAAAAGTATTTCGCAATATTCAAACCAATTATAAGAATCACGATAGGCTGAGTGAACGAGCTATTCCTCCTACGGCCAAGAACAAAGACATCTACAAACTTGACAATATTATTCAGTCTTACATTCAACTGTCCCTCCTCCCTCTGCTCTCAGCTGCCCTGGCCTCCACAGGAAATGCTCATTCCTGTGTTAGAGTCTCTGTGAGACACAATGCTTCCCACCCCACCCTTTCCCCCACCAAGACCACCTTCTCTGATCGCCGGGAGAAGGAAACCCCTCCTGTTATAGCTCGCAGTGCTTTGCTCGTCTCCATGGTAACCTCCCACTGGTCATGGCTGCTTCCAGGTCTGCAGTCCCCTCTGCACCCTGAGCCCCTGGTGGAGTGCTTTCTGGGGTATCCCATTCCTTGGAGGTTCGAGGAGATAATGTGGGCCGCTGGCAGCCTTGGCCTGGCCTCGGCTCATTAGCTGCCTGCTATCTGGGCTCCTCCCTTTCTCTACAGTGAGGCACCTCCACCATATCAACACGGAACTTGTCATTATCCCCTGAGGCCAGTGACTCTCCCCACTTCCCATCTCAGCAGGTGGCATCACTACCCACCCAGCACCCAAGCCACACACCTGACTGCCATCCTTGCTCCTCCGTCCTCCACCTGCAGCCCGTCAGGTGGATCCCACCTCCCGAACACCTCCAGAGCCACCCCATTCTCTCCATCCCACTGCTGCTCCCCGGCCCAGGTCACCTAGGCCAGTGGTCGGCAAACTCATTAGTCAACAGAGCCAAATATCAACAGTACAACGATTGAAATTTCTTTTGAGAGCCAAATTTTTTAAACTTAAACTATATAGGTAGGTACATTGTTATTAACTTAATTAGGGTCCTCCTAAGGCTTAGGAAGAGCCACACTCAAGGGGCCAAAGAGCCGCATGTGGCTCGTGAGCCGCAGTTTGCTGACCACGGACCTAGGCAACTCCAAGGTGTCATCTCCAGCCCCTTGCCCCCAGCCTTGCCCCTCTGATTCAGTCTCACTCTGCCAGAGGGAGCCTTCCCAAACATAGAACCCTCTTATCCCAAACCCCACCGTGGTACCCACTCTCCCCACAGTGAAGCTCACAGGGAAGGCCTGCTATGGTCTGGCCCCGCCTACCTTTCAGCCTTAACTCCCCATTGGCTGTCCCTCCTCCCTCTGCTCTCAGCTGCCCTGGCCTCCACAGGAAATGCTCATTCCTGTGTTAGAGTCTCACTGAGACACAATGCTTCCCACCCCACCCTTTCCCCCACCAAGAACACCTTCTCTGATCCCCGGGAGGAGGAGGCCCCTCCTGTTATAGCTCGCAGTGCTTTGCATGTCTCCATGGTAACGTCCCACTGGTCATGGCTGCTGCCAGGTCTGCAGTCCCCTCTGCACCCTGAGCCCTGCGAGAGCAGGGCCGTGTCCACCTTCTTCACAACGGAGTCCCAGCGCCCTGGTAACCACTGCAATGGCAACACATTCTTGCCTTGGCGGCCGAGGCCACACAAATCATTTCTGTTTCCAGTTCAAGAACAACCAGGGGCCGTGTGTCCAGCAACTCTTGCATTTATTAGAACCTGCTTACCCAGCAATCCACAAAGGAGCTTACACAGGGGTAATATTTAGGACTCTTGTGACCTAATCCTGGGATTATCATGGGAGGCCTGGCTGGTGGGCAGGGGAGGGGAGGCGGCGTCATGGGAGGGGCTCTAAAGACAGGGAAGGAGGAACCAGCAGATGCTAAAGACACTTCCATTTGGCGGGGAGCTGTGCTGTGGGTTTGGCGGCCTCTCTCTTGGCCGCTGGGGTGTGTTTGTGAGCACGCGTGCGTGTGTGTGCGCACGCATGTGTATTCGTGTGCTTATGTGAGTGGTAAGGGGAGGCAGGAGAGCTGAGCAGTTGGCATCAGGGGTCCTTTTCCTTTTCCTTTAACCTTTCCTTCACTTTCTGAGGCTCAAACTGGATCAGCCGCAGAATTTCCTTGTTGGCCAAGGTCCCCTCGATGAACTCCTCCTCTGTAAGTTTATCTGCGGATGGAGAAAATACCACAGTCAGGACTGGCTGTTTCAAGCTGCCACAAGGCTGACACCTGCCAGCAGGCCCTGTGCAGATGTGTCCATCATGAAAACCTTGCGTCTTAGCGCCCCCAGGGTACTCCCACCCCTGCCCCAGATACCCAACCTGCACCTCCCCCTGAACCAGTAAGGAGAGGTTAATGCTGGCACTACTGAGGGGTCCAGGGTGCACTTCAGTTACGCTTCTCTTCTGATTGGCAATGCCCTGCCTTGCTGGTTATTAAGTATCTTGAGTATTACTCTAGGTCTGAGCCTCACATTCTGGAAGAACTTTTGGGGCCTGGAGCAAAGTAAACAATTTCAGTTGAGAAGGAGGGAGCAACATTCACTCTAGAGAAGGGTGTGAAAGTTGAGGGGTCCAGGGGGGTGCCAGGGAGAGCCTGGCTTGTGAAGAGGTCTCTCTGGCCCACCACCCCAGCACATGGGCAGCCCCTCATTCTCAGCTGACAGCTCCTCCACGACTCTCCCTCTGCATCTCTGCATCTCCCCTCCCCCTCCCCTGGGGGCCAGGAGAGCGCCTCGCCCAGCCTCCGGGTTCAGTTCTGTCCAGTTCAGTGCTCTCCACTAGCGGTTCCTCTGAGCCAGAGCCACCGTGCTTGGGGCTGAGGTCACTTCAGAGGGTGGAAGGCAGGGTGTGGCGAAGAGGGAAATGAGGTAAAGTCCTTGGCCCAGGAAACTCTTGGTGTTGCGTCTTAGCGCCCCCAGGGTACTCCCACCCCTGCCCCAGATACCCAACCTGCACCTCCCCCTGAACCAGTAAGGAGAGGTTAATGCTGGCACTACTGAGGGGTCCAGGGTGCACTTCAGTTACGCTTCTCTTCTGATTGGCAATGCCCTGCCTTGCTGGTTATTAAGTATCTTGAGTATTACTCTAGGTCTGAGCCTCACATTCTGGAAGAACTTTTGGGGCCTGGAGCAAAGTAAACAATTTCAGTTGAGAAGGAGGGAGCAACATTCACTCTAGAGAAGGGTGTGAAAGTTGAGGGGTCCAGGGGGGTGCCAGGGAGAGCCTGGCTTGTGAAGAGGCCCCTGATTCTCAGCTGACATCTCCTCCACGACTCTTCCCTTTGCATCTCTGCATCTGCCATCCATCTCCCTGTGGGACCAGGAGAGCGCCTCACCCAGCCTCCGGGTTCAGTTCTGTCCAGTTCAGTGCTCTCCACTAGCGGTTCCTCTGAGCCAGAGCCACCGTGCTTGGGGCTGAGGTCACTTAGAGGGTGGAGGGCAGGGTGTGGCTTCAAAGGAAGTGAGGTAAAATCCCTGGCCCCTTGGTGGGCTGGGGAAGACAGTCACATGTAGAAATAACTCTAAAAGAAACAGTGCTCTTTCAGATCATGCATATGCTCAGAGTTGCCTGCACGTAGTCGGTGGCTGAACCGAATTGCACGCCCATTAGCTTATGTTCCAGGCCTTTTGAACACCCGGATTAGGACCCAGGCAGGTTCCCTGCAGGTCTAGGTGGGGAAATGTAAAGCCCTAGCTGCCCTGTCAAAATCACAAAGAGCTTGGAACCCCCACCATCAAAGCCAAGTTTGGGAGCCAGGCCTCATCCCATGTGGGCACGGGGAAGGACATACGCACCACCTGGCAGGAGGAATACGGCAGCCCCCCACACCCACCGCCACCTCCTGTGACGTCCACTTGGGTCAGCTTCTCCAGGACCCAAGTTAACTTCCTCAGGGAAACCGTAGAAATGAGATCCCGCTTACTTGGGACCCCAGGCTAATCCCGACCCAGACTGGGCTAAAGTTTGCTCTAACTCTTAGAAAGCGTTTTGGAAAACAAGCGAAGCAAACCCCAGTGTCTGGGAACTGACACCTTCTCTAACAGAAAGTGCTTGGAATTCCTCTAAACTTGGCGTCTGTGTACAAACGTCTAAGGGGCTGTTGCCTTTCCTTCTTCCTATTGCTTCAATGTGGCTGTTTTAACCAAAGCTGTTTTCTTCAGAAGCCCCCCAACCCCTCGGAGCCTTCCTTCTCCCCATGAGGCAGCCACGGGCCGTATAAGCCTGGGACGGGGCACCATCCCCACCACAGTGGCAGCTCCACGGGGAGCAGGGCTGGACCTGTGGCCTCTGTCCACTCCCCGAGGCCCCAGCCAGCCCTGCAGTGCATGGCGGGGCGAGGTGTCCCCATCTCCTGGGCACTGGCTTAGGAAGGCCACATGTTGGCAGGATCAGCCGGAAACAGCCGCGACTGTGAAGCAAAGGCCACGCGGGAGAAGGCATTCACCGTCATCCTTCTTTCCAAAGAAGCCCCAGATCTTGTCGGCTCGCTTCTCAGGGGTGTTCTCGTCCTCTGGCAGGTGCTTGGCGTCCTCGGGATTGATCATCTTGAATATCGCCTGCAGGGAAGCAAGAGGAACGGCTGGTCAGAAGGAGCCGCGGAGGCTGCAGCCCTGGGGTGGAGCGCAGGTCCCAGGCCCGGCTGGCCTGTCAATCAGCTCCTGGGCGGGCACCTGTGTTTCTGAGACCTTCAGCTGGATGGGGAGCCTGGGGGAGGGGGGAGGAAGGCTTTCGCTTCTTATTTGTCCCTTTCTGTACTGTTTGCATTTCCTGACCATGCAGACATATGACTTTCATTTTACTTAAAAAAAAAAAAATGGAAAAAGCTTCCTGGTGTCATCCCATGGCAGCCCGAGGCTGCAGTTTGGGAACCATTCCCTTGAGCCTCCTGCCTAGAAATTTTAGAAAACCTATCAGCTTCTCCCAGGTCCATGTGGTACCTGGTGGCCCAGCCGGGTGGCCTAACAAGGGCTAACATTTGCTGAGCGCCTAACATGTGCCACTTTCCTGAGCATTTTACATGCAACCTTCCCAGCCTTATGAGATGTGCATTCATGGCCCCATTTTACAGACGAAGAAACCGAGCCGATTAACTGGCTGAGTGTCACGCAGCTGGAAGCAGATGAGCAGAGCTCCTAGCCCAGCCGCTTTGGGTTTAGTTTGCATTGTGCCACTCGCCAGCTGATGCCTCGGAGAGCATTCCAATGGCTGGGGAGGGATAGGGGAGGCCTCAACAGGCTTCCCAAAGGCCTCCCCAGGGCTCAGGAAGACCCTCAGTTACCCTTCCGCCCAGGAAGGGACCGAGAGGGAGGTTGAGCTTTAGACTCTAGGAGCCTTCACTCCTCCCTCCACGCTCACTGACAAAGGATCCGGATGTGCGCATGTGTGATGGGGGCAAAGCAGGAAGTGCCTCTGCCCCTGTGGTCAGGGAGAGGGACAGGTGGTCTCGAGTGGCCCATCCAGCTCTAGGTCACTAGGATTCCACCAGCTGGGGGCAGGCTCGGGTGCAGGCGACATGTTGGGTGGCAGTAGGAAGCGCACCTTGGAGACCCGGAAGCACAGCCAGGCAGGGGCAGTCATGCCTATAAATTAGCCTGGAGGGGAGGTCAACACGCTGAGAAGTGCCCTTACAGCGACCCCCTACTCTCCCCCGCTACAGCAAGGAGCAAGGAATTGAGCCAGCAGCTGGGGAAGCAGCCTCAGCTGGCAGGCGCCCAGCAGCCAGAGGGGAGGTGACTCTGTTGGCTCCTCTCTCTGTCCTGAGCCATGGGAACCACGTGGAGGCTTGGTGGCTAAACGCTGGGAGTAACGGGCTGCCTGCCCCATCCTGCTTCCAACACCAAGAACAGACCATCTATCAAGGCCTCCATGAAAGAACCGAGAAAGAACCATAGGATGCTCACGCTGGGCCCTGGGAGGTTATATGGTTTTCCAAGGCCATGAAGCTAGTTGGTGGCATAGCTGGGACAAGAATCTGTAATTTCTGGCTTCAAGGCTAGTGACGTAGTGATCTGGTGAGTGACAGAGCCTTGGCACCACCTTGCACAGCCTCGGCCATGGATTCTCCTCCCCACCCTTTCTCCTTTCCCTCCCTTCCTCCCCCCCTCCCCCATTCCTCCTCCTTTTTCTCAAGAAGCACCAACTTATAGGCCTCTGCTGGGCCTGGCATCCTTTAGGTGGTTCTGAGGATGTGGTCTCCATCCCATGCCACCTGCCAATTCAGAGAAGTTTGATCTGAAGGCCCTGCCCAGTGAGGTTCCCACACATGCCTGCCCTTGACCGGAGGCCCGAGCAGAGTCTGCATGCTCAGCTATTGTATTCATGGTGTCACCTAATGAGGGAGGAAGAGCTGTGCGAATGAAAGCAGGGTTACAAATGCATCAAAAGTATAAAAACCATGAAAACAGTCTCCCTCTTAATGGGAATGTCAGTAGAAAAATATAGCAAGTGGCATGAGGTAGAGGGATAAAAAAAGATCAGGTAAAAAGATACTAAATGAAGGTAAATATACATAATATAATAGGGCAAATAGAAACATCCTAACTGTCCCAAATTTAGGAATGGTTAAATAATTTTATGACATTTCCATAACTAAAATTCTAAGCAGCTATTAAATATGGCTTGGAGGAATGTATACTGTTATGAAAAACATTCATCATAAAATAGTAACCGAAAAAAGTATAAAAATCCTATATGAATATTTCATAGCTCTAAACTTAGTTTAAAATATAAAGCTAAAAGACTGGAAATGTATATACCGATGCGTTGACCGTTTTCTCTGGATGATGAAATTAAAGGTAAGTTTAACTTTTCTTTTGCATATGTTTCTAAATCACACGAATTACTTTTACATTAAATAAGACTATTTTCAAGACGCCTAAAATCGTCACAAGTGATGTGCTCCCAGGCTGGTTGGGACAGGGGTGGAGAATGGGTGTGGCAGGCACTGGCCTCCCAGGGGCCTGAGCATCCCGGGGTTGGTCCAGAGCACCGGGATGAGGGAGCCGGGGCTCCGGTGAAGGGCCATGAAGACCAGCAGAACCGGAACCCAGGTCTCACTCCCTCCCCACCTCCTCCTACTGTGCATCTGAAACATGTCAGGGACTCTGACCGTGCACAGTTGAAGGTGTTGAAGGGGCATTTAATGAACAGAGGAAAGAAGGAAGGAGGGAGGAAGGAAGGAAGAAGGAAGGATGGAAGGAAAAAAAAAAAAGGCAATCATAGGAAATACCCAGATTCTTTTTAGGAGGGAAACGAAGCTGTGGGAAAATGCCCAGCCTTCCGTTAATCTCAGTATATGGGTCACAAAGTCTGGGCCCCTACGCCCCCTCCAGCCCCTCCCCCAGCTGCGCCCTGACCTGGGTGACCCCAGCCCTGCAAAGGGTGGAGGGTGGAGACTGAAGACTGACCATGACGATCTCCAGCACTTCGCTCTTGCTGATGGCCCCGTTGCCGTCCACATCGTAGAGCGAGAAGGCCCACTCCAGCTTCTGGCTGGGCCGGCCGGCCGTGGTCATGTGCAGGGCGACCACGTACTCCTTGAAGTCCAGGGTGCCGTCGCTGTTGGCGTCGAAGCTGCGGAACACGTGCTCCGCGTAGGCCTTGGGGTCGGCGTCCGGGAAGAACTTGGCGTAGATGCCCTGGAACTGCTGGCGCGTGATGCGGCCGCCCGGGCACTCCCTGAGGAAGGACTGGTACCAGGCGCACAGCTCCTCCTGCGTGAACTGCGTGCTCACCTGCAGCTCCTCCAGGATCTCCCGGGACAGGGCCCCGCTCCGGCTGTTCCCCATGGGCGAGGCGGCTGGGCTCCGTGGGTGGGTGCGTGGGAGGGAGCGGCGAGGTCTCAGGCTGCCACTGGACACAGACCCACGGAGCCGCCGGCGGATTAGGAGGATTTGCAGCAGGTTCACCCCAGTACTTGGAGGGAGGAGGGGCCCAGACCTGGGAGGGGCGGCCGGCGAGCTCCCAGAACCCCCCTGAGATTAAAGGAGAGAGCTGGCCGCAGGTGCTCAGTCCATTCTGGCCTCTGGGAGGACAGGGCGGGAGGTCAGACCCTTCAGGGCCCAAGCCCTGGGCCAAGGTCTTCCCCGCTGGCCCTGGCTCATCGCTCCCCACCCCCAACTCCAGCTCTCTCCGTGCCAGGATGTCCCAGCCTGTGCCCCGCCCTAACTCCTCTAACTCAGAGGGTCTCCTCTTCCACTGAGCCCTCCGGTGCAGGGCCAGGCTCAGCCCACCGCCTGGGCTCAAATCCCAACTTGGCAATTTATTAGCTGTGTGACCTGAGGCGACGTTTTGGAACCTTTCTCTGCCCGAAAGCTCGTCTCCTGGCCCTTCCCCTCCTTCCTGGCTTCCTGAACTGTCCCCTCAGCCAGGCCTATACTGCCCACTCTGTTTGCAATTGCACAGCCCAGCCCCACCCTCAGCACCCCAGACTGTTCATCCTGCTTTATTTTGCTCCCTCCCCCGCACACCTTCTGGCTTCCTCTTTACTTATCCCATGTGCTGTCTGTCTGTCCCCTCCCGGGAATGAAAGGTCCGTGGATGGAGGATCTGCCTGTCTGTTTCCCAGCTGCATCTTCATTGCCAGATCGGTGCGTGCCTGGCAGGTGGAGGCCTTCGGTGAGTATTCCTTCAGTGAACAGGCATGATAATAGATAACAGTGTCTATGTCATTGTTTTCGTGAGGCTGAAATGGGTAGATATGTGCAACATACTTAGAACAGAGCCCAGCACATGCTAAGTGCTAAATACATGTCAATTTTTGTTATTATTCACCTACAACAGGGATCCAAAACTAAACTGCCTATGGGAGCCAGCAAGGGAAGGGGGGGGGGAGTGAAACAACTGGATCAGGGAGACAGTAGGGAGTGGTGAGGCCTGTGTCATACATGCCAGTGTTCAACTCCATTTGGATGTGGTCATATGGGATTATGGCCCAGTGATTATCCAAGAGAAACCCAGAAATCAGATTTTTAGATGCAATTTCCAAACTTTTAAACTTTGAGAGTCAATTCAAACATTTTAAAAGCATGGTGTCAGCTCGCAGGTTGCCAGTTTGCCCCCAGCCTGATGCCTGGACTAGCAGACTCCACGTGCTTGGGGGGTGAGTGGATGGGTGCATGGGAGGTAGGGAGCCTTGCAAGGGAAGCCTTCACATCCCCACGGTCGGCTCAGCCACGAGCACTGGACACAGGAGGAACCCTAGTGAGTGTTTTGTACCTGACTTCTCATCACCCACAGGAGAGGTCGGCAGTGCCCTGGCTTGGCTGAGCACAGTGCTGGAGGGGCGTGAACCTGGACCCCCAAAATTGCCAAATTGGATGGAAGAGATGTCTCCTCTTTGCTCAGGGCTCATAACAACAAAGAATAAACCCCACACTCTCCAGGCGGTGAGTTAGGGTTTGCACCCTATCACAACAGGCTAATGGCCGGGGCCAGCAGCCCTGCTGCTGGGGAAGCCACCTGCCCGGCCCACCTGCATGCTGCTTAGGAAGGACTGAGAAGTTCAGGCACCAGCAGTGCTGACCATCCCTCCTGCCCTCGCACCCCCTGTGGCTCCAGAGTCTTCCTCAGGAGGCCTTCATGTTAGGTGTGTGTGTGGTTGCGTGTGTGTGTGTACTCACTCCTTTCCCCCATTAGTTGTGAGAGCACATTATTTCTTATTAGAGGCCCGGTGCATGAAATTCATGCTCGGGGGGTGGGGGGGTCTCTCAGCCCGGACTGCACCCTCTCCAATCCGAGACCCTTGGGGGATGTCTGACTGCTGGTTTAGGCCTGATCCCGCAGGGACCTCTGGCTCCTCACCACTCACCTGCCTGCCTGATCACCCCTAACTGCTCCTCTGCTGGCCTCATTGCCCCTAACTGCCTCTGCCTCAATACCCACCACTGTGGCTTTGTTCGGAAGGATGACCAGAAGATGTCCGGTCGACCAGGTCTAATTAGCATATTACTTTTGTATTAGCATAGATTAGGAGCCCTTTCTCTTGTTCTAGATTTCACTATCCTGTAGCAAGGCATTTGTTCTCAAGAGCAGTTAGAAATTGGACAGTCACTGGACTAAAAAAACAAACAAAACAAACCCAGGCCATGGAATGAGGCTGAGGCTTCACCCCTGACCTCGGAACCAGGTGTGAGAGGCGATGAGAAGTGCCTCCTGGTCCCGGGCTATACGCACCAAGCCTACAGGTGAGGCCAGGCCGGTGTTACAGGGAGAAACGGAGCTCCCAGGCACACTCCGCCTGCCCGGGTCACAGGGCAGCTAAATGGCAACGCGGGAGGAAAGCCCAGGTTCGCAGGCTCCCATCCAGGGCTCTTCTTGAGACATTACCACGGCCCGAGCCAAGGGGGCAAGAAGCTCCATTTGTATAGGTGAGGAGCTGGGGTTGCCATGACAACAGAAGATGTGGACAAGGAAACAGTGCCGTGGGTTAACACAGAGGTAGCTGGAGCCGCCCCCCTCTAGCCCCCGACCTCTCTGCCCTTTCCAAGGGCAAGGAAGGAAGGAGCTGGAACCGGTCAGAGGCAGCCTGGCACTGTCCACATTCTTCAGGTTGCTGTGCCCGGAGGGGCCGGACCGCTGGAGGGGACCACAGGCAGCTGTGTTGATGCTGCTGAGAGAGGGGTCGTGACCTGGAGGTTTGTTTGAAAACCTGCATAAACATCTTCTATCAGAGGGAGAGTTTATGCTCCTTAGTCAAACAAGTTGTTGGAGATGATGTATTGTGAGTGGATTTGTTAAGTCTGAGCTGGGACCATAAACTCTCCCCGAACCCCGAAAACCACTGGGGAGAAGGCTCGTCTCCAGTCAGTCTTGAAGTGTGTCTCCCTGACCCTGACCTTGACTGCAAGAAGCAGGCTCTTGCCAGAGGCTGGCCCTGCTTGCACCCCAAATCAGGAGCTGTCTTAGCCCCCAGCCCCCACCCCTATTCCTCCCCCTTCCCCTGCTCTGAGCTCAAAGACAAGATGACCTTCCCCCCGGCTTGTTTCATGCGCGTTGTTCCCAGGACCTGGAACAGTGTAGTAGGTGCTGAATAATTATGGCACGAAGTGAGGAAGGGATGGATGGATGAGATGAGAAACTATAGCCAGGATCCCCTTGTGTCTATAGGGATAAGTCACCAGGAGAGCCGACGAGGCTGGGGCCAAGTGTGTGGGTACGGCAGCGTGGCACCTTTGTGGCAGGCCAGTGCCCAGGTGCCTCTTGGCCCTTTGCTAAGCCATCAGGAGAAACTTATCACCGATCCCGGGAGCCTGGAGGAATGCAAAGACCATTTGTACAAAGGAGAGCATGGCCGCGCTCCAGGAGGGAGGGTCACCCAGTGGGACCAGCGTCGCTGGACAGTTTATTTCCCATGGGGTGACTCTAAGCATCTTAAGTGTCCACACAGAGCCGGGGGGAAAAAATGGGAGCGCATTTAACTTCCTGAAAATGCTTTTATGATAACGCAGAACAATTATAGATAGCAAATGCCTTCAAAATTTAAACCCTTTAAACATTTAATTCTTCAGCATTAATACACACAAATGCTATTACAGGGGGCAGGAAGGGCGCCCCCATAGGGATCGGAGTTTCAACAGTGTTACTTATAAATTATATTACATCGATTTTATTTACCGATCTAGGCAGCCAGAGGGGAAGGATATACAATTCGAAGTAAACACATTCATACCGGGATGAGGAATGCTGGCAGGAGACACAGCTTCGCAACATTAAAAATGTATAAAGTATTTAGCAAAAGTTACAGAAAACAGACCAAACAAGCAAGTTTATTTTGTTAGAAAATTCCACCTTCGTAGGGTTTGTGATGTGCTCGTGTCTGCGAAAGGACGGCCATGCCCCTCCGCCCCCTCGCCTCCCTCCTGTGGGCAGGGCCCAGATGCAGACTCGGGGCCCATCACCAAGGGGGGCTGGGGTCCCTTTGAATGTCTGTCCCCGGGTCCACATGGCCGCCCAGAGGCCACGGCTCCCAAGAGCCAGGCTGCTGTATATGACGCTGGAAGGGAGCGTCTCCGTTGACAGATGGGTCCACAGAGGTCCCGGGAGGGGAAGTGACTTCAGGTCATGGGACAAATGAGACAGCAGAGCGGCCAGTCCAGTGCTCTTGCCCCTGGGACCTCTGTAGAGCACCCATGTGCCCAGTAGAGCACCCATGTGCCGGACCCTTTGCATTCACCCTTGCAATCCCATCAGGAATCTCCCTGAAACACAAAGGGTCAGTGTCCCCTGAACAGCGCCCCGAGAGGTCAGAGGTGGTCACTGCCCCTCTCCCTCAGAGGCACCTCGCAGCAGAGGCGCCCTAGAGCCCGGCCCAGCGTCTAGATGGTGAGGGGGAGGGGGACATGCTCTGTCACTTGTCTTAGTCTCACGACAACCTGCAGCCGCAGGAGTTGGGTCCCTCCCTTCAAGACAGGCCGGACAGAAATAAGACTCCTAGGAGTGGGGGTGGGGATGCGGTGA